GATTATCATGGGGGAAATCCAAATTTCTGAATTTCTAGTTAAACAATATTAATGCCAAGATGATTCTTAAGCTCAAGGGTTGGTGTTATTACTGTTTTGAAGATGGCGTTGCAAAAAACACAGGAATATTTTCTCTGCATTCTGTGTACATCTCTCTAGAAAGTATGTGTTAATAATAATATCTATTTTGACCTTATATAAAGTTCCTCAGAGAAAAGTTCTAACACTTATTTTTTGTTGTTGTTGTTGGTTGTAGGGCTTGAACTCTGGGCCTGGGCGCTGTCCCTGTGCTCTTCAGCTCAAGGCCAGTGCTCTACTGCTTGAGCCACAGTGCCACTTCCAGTTTTCTAGTGGTTTATTGGAGTGTCATGGACTTTTCCTGCCTGGGCTGGCTTTGAACTGTGATCCTCAAATCTCAGCCTCCTGAGTAGCTAGCGTTATAGGCATGAGCCATCAGCGCCAGCTTTATTATTTTTATAACATTTAGATCTTTTCTGTAATAATGTGAAACTTATATTTTGACAAGAATTCATTTTGAGTAAATACTCTCAAGCATGCTAAATAAGACAGATATTTTATCTTGTAAAGAAAATATAGCTATTCATTGATTTCCTAGCTTTATAATAGGATAATGGGTTCTTTAAATGAATTAGTGCCTTGTTAAAGGTGGTAGTTACATCATCTTGCAAAAGACTTCCCTTTACTTTGTGACCTTAAGTAATGTAAAGACCTAAATTTTCAAGTTGCTCTTCTGAAACAAAAAGAAACAGATTTATTTCACAGGTTCATCAAAGAATTAGAGAAATTTATTTCTAGCCAGGCTCCAATGGCTCATGCTTGTAATCCCAGCTACTCAAGGAGGCTGAGATCTGAAGGTCAGGGTTCAAAGCCAGCCCTGGCAAGAAAGACCATCAGACTCTTATCCCAATTAATCACCAAAAATCTGGATACAGAGCTGTGGCTCTAGGACTAGTATTGAGCACAAAAGTTCAGGGACAGTGCCCAGGCCCTGAGTTTAAGACCCAGGACTGACACACGCATCCATGCACATGCACACACACACAGAATTACATTCCTAATGTGAATTCATCTTCTGACTTTGGCACTTTTCAAAAAACCAGTGATTGCTTTCCAAAGATATTTGATAAGCTTTTGGGGGGTAGTTTTGCCATCTACATTTTTTTAACTTAAATATTAGACCCAGTTACTCTATTTCTGTGATTTTGTTTTCCCAGCACTAGCATTTGAACTCAGGGCCCTCATACCTGCTAACTGTGAGTGCTACCACTAAGCCTCCATTCCTTTTTGCCAAGTTGATTCTGAGATAGTCATGCTTCCTACCCTAGTATACACCTGGACCACAGGAAGGTATTTGGGGATTTCTGACATAGCTGGAGTGGCAGGTACATGCCACCAAACCTAGTTTCTTTCCATTTATATGGGCTTTTTTGCCCAAACTGGCCCAGAATCATGATCTTCCCATTCTCAGACTCTCACATACCTGGTATAACAAGCACATGCCACCCTACCTAGCTATTCAGCTCTTTTTGAGACAGATCTTCCTAAATTTCCCAGGCTGGCTTGAAACTTTCAATCCTCTTTCCTCAGCCTTGGAGTTGCTAAGATTATACATAAGCACCACCACACCTAGCTTATTTCTTTTAATAGTTTCCAATGAAAACGTCAGAAATTTGGCCAAAGATATGTAGGAGTATGTGATATTCATTACAGAAAAAAGTTTCTATATTGATAAGAAAGAGCCTAAATATTGTTACAAAGATGAATGGCACACACACTTACACAATGGCACTCTATTCAAGTTTGTGGGCCAAATTTGGGGCTAATTAACCCCTGACCCCCCCAAAAAAATACAAAATGGCATGTACTGTGATTTCAAATTGCAAAGTATTTTTAAGCTCTGTGTGTTGGGCTAGTAAGGTGGTTCAGTGGTAGAGTACTTGCCTTATAGGCCTGATGCTGTGGGTTCGATTCCTCAGCACCACATAGGCAGAAAATTCAGAAATGGAGCTGTGGCTCAAGTGGTAGAACACTAGCCTTGAGCTGAAAAAAAGCTCTGTGTGTTGGCCTATTCCAGCTTCCATTACAGAATGGGTAGTTTAAGAACAGTCATTTGGGGGCTGGGAAGGTGGCTCAGTGGTAGAGCGCTTGCCTTGCATGCATGAGGCCCTGGGTTCGATTCCTCAGCACCACATAAGCAAAAAGAAAAAAGCCGGAAGTGGCGCTGTGGCTCAAGTGGTAGAGCACTAGCCTTGAGCTGAACTGCTGAGGGACATCGCCCAGGCCCAGAGTTCAGGCCCCACAACTGGACCCCTCACCCCCCCCAAAAAAAGAAAGGCTTTTTTTTTTTTTTCTCACAGTTCTAGAGGTTGGAAGTACAAACACAAAGTGCTGCCAAGATAGATTTTTTCTTCTGTGGTTTCTTCTGGAAGCTTGTGGTGGCTGCCAACTCAGTGTGTACTCTCATGACCTCAGCATGAGCTTCCTTACCTATTATAAGAAAACACCAATCTTTACCAGACAAGTGACCTCACTTAGCCTGAAGTTCCACCATACACCACTGCCACCCTGATAGTAAAGGATTTAACATCTGAATTTGGAGAGAACAAATTCAGTCTGGTAGTATAAATGATAGGGGGGAAAAATGTTTTTCCTCTATTTCACTTAGTCACTACAACCCAGACCACTTCACCCCTAAATTAGCAAACTGTGCTGGAATTTCCCCCATGTATACAAACTAGTCAATCTGCTATTGTCTGCCTTCAGATAATGTCAGGTTGAACAGTTTCAGTGATGTGTTAGTATCACAGGACTCCTCTCCACTTTAGATGCCAATTATTAGTCCCAGTTTGTATCCTCTATTTCTAAGTGACTGACATATGTATAATCAGTGTTCCATAATACCTTCTTCTGCTTTAACACTGACAAATTTGCTCAATCAAGAAATTACTTTTCAGCAAGATAATTTAATGCATGTAAGGAGATCATTTGAAGCAGGGCTCTAGTGGCGCACACCTGTTACTCTAGCTACTCAGGGGGCTGAGAGCTGAGGATTATGGTTTGAAGTCAGCCCAGACAGGAAACTTTCTGAGACTTATCTCCAATTAACCACCAAAGAGCCGGAAGTAGCTCAAGTGGTAGAGCACCTGCCTTGAAAAAAGCCTCAGGGATAGCACCCAGGCCCTAAGCTCAAGCCCAAGAAGTAGCGTGCACGCGCGCGCGTACACACACACACACAGATAATTTGAATGAAAGTGCTTGTAAAGAGACTTGGTATAAAAAAATGGTTCATGCATTTAAAAAGGCTGGCAAGTATAAAATCTGAAGAGCATATGTCCCAGTCAGGATGATCTTCTTACTCCAGGCAAGGTCACCCTTTTACTCTATTAAGGTCCTCAATTGACTAGATGAGGCCCATTCACATTATGGAGAATAATCTACTTTTCTTACTTCACCAATTTAAATGTTAGAATCATCCAGCAGATCCATAACAGGAACAACCAGATATCTGGGCACATTCTGGCTCAGTCTACTTGACATATAAAATGAACCATTGAAAATTATTTGAAAATTACTTTTTAGAACAATTCAAAAATTACCATTGTCTGCCTAGTTGAGGGAAGAAAAGGAGGGAATAAGGCATGGAAACTCAGAATAAAATAAAAACCATACACTTTGCTTAGCTTGTAAACTTAAATGCTGAAATTGTTTGCATTGGAAAATACTGTTTTCTCAGGTCATTATGTACAATAGTAAATGAATAAGCATCTTTCTTTGTGATAAAATTGGTTATGCTCTTCTCCTGATGCCTTTGTAATTTACAAACTCTGTGTTTACTTGGACTGCTGTAACAAAATACCTTCAACAAAGTAATTTATAGGCAGCAGAAAACCGTTGTTTAAATTCTGGAAACTGAGAGAGGTCCAAGGTGAAGGCACTAGAAGGCTGGTGTTTACTAAGGGCTCACTGCTTTCAAGACGGTACCTTGCTATGTCCTCACATGACAGAACAAGCAAGAAATTTGCTCAGGCCTTTTTATAAGAACAGTAGTTCATGAGAGTGCGGCCTCCTTGACTTCAATACTGCCAAAGGCCTTACCTCTTCATATGTGGTTACTAGGTTCTAAAACATGTGAATTTGGAGGACACCAACATTTAGACTTTAGATGTGGCCTAACTACAGCACTTGCATTATGATTGTCATTTCATACTCATAAATGTGAATGAACATGAAAAATTATATCCACTAACAAATATTCATCATTTATTGACTGTGGTTACTGAGAACTATCTGTCATCTTTTTCATATATAACATAGAGAATATTCAACTCATTTCACATAATAACTGCTTTCTTACAAAGGTATCACTTCACCAGAAATGTCAGAAGTAGTTACGTTTCAAACTCACAGTGCTTACATAAAGATTGTTCTGATAGTCTAGCCTCTTTTTTTTGGTTATTACAGAAGAAAATATTATCACTGGACTATATTCTCCATAATAGTTATTAAGACTGCTCAGAATCTTTGATGGGATAGTATCTATTAAGGGTACTCAAAATCTTTGACCCAGAATCTTAATGGGATAAATAGGAAAAGACTACTAATGTTCCATTTGTATTTCTCAGTATACATTTTAATTGGGTTGTACCAGACACTTTCTGGCAGATTTTAAGCCATCCTTCAAATTTACACACACAACTGGAAATAACCAACAGTATGTATGGTATAATATAACCATAATTAATTATCTCACTTAGTGCACAAAATAGCACCACCCTGACACTTTAGTAAGGATTTTTTTAAATATTGGTCTAGAGTGAACAGAACTTTAATTTGCTCATATCTAAAGAAATTTAAATTGTTTCTGCTCATTGTTAAAAGTCAATGAGTGTGTTAATTTTTTTCAAGGGAAACTAGACCTTACTTTAAATATAAGCTTGTAATTTAATAGTAATAATAACCTGTTGTTTCTTTTTCCACAGTTCTTAGTGGTCTGTGTTCTAATGATTGTCCTCGTAAGATAACAGTAAGTAAACATAATTCTTATTTATAAATATACCTGTGAAAATCTGTGCATGATACAGATACACTTAAAATATATTATTATAGGCTATAATCAAAATGTCATTAGTGTGTAGCAGTTATTAAAGTATCCTTCATTACTCTGGGAAACTGCTGACATTAATTTTCCTTAAAAAATTCTTACTATATGAAGCCAGGCAATGGTGGTTCACACCTGTTATCTTAGCTACTCAAGAGGCTGAGATCTGAGGATTGCGGTTCAAAGCCAGCCCGGGCAAGAAAGTCCGTGAGACTCTTATCTCCAATAAACAACTAGAAAACCAGAAGTGTTGTTGTGGCTCAAATGGTAGAGTGCTAGCCTTGAGCTGAAGAGCGCAAGGACAGCACCCAAGCCCAGAGTTCAAGCCCCACAACTGACAAAAAAAAAAAAATCTTACTATAAAGGTTATCTAATACATGAAGTGTTCTCTGATATCCTCTCATTGTTTCTGAATATTTGGCACCTACAATATTTGATTTTACTTACTTTTGTAAATTAGATGCCTCTCTACTTTGCCCTATGAATCCTTGGGGTCAAGAAACTTACTCATCTTTCTGTATCTTGTACACAACACAGTTCAACTCATTCTTGACAATTAATGACTTTTTGTAGTGTTAATATTAATTTTCTGTCTAATAGAAGGGCTCAGTGAAAATAATAATGTAAAAATCATAAGGTTTTTATTTTGTTTTTTGTTGGTCATGGTACTTGAACTCTGGGCTTGGGCACTGTCCCTGCGCTCCTCAGCTCAAAGTGAGTGCTCTACCACTTGAGCCACAGCGCCACTTACACTTTTCTAGTGATTTATTGGAGATAAGAGTCTCATCGACTTTCCTGCCCGGGCTGTCTTTGAATCATGATCCTCAGATCTCAGCCTCCTAAATAGCTAGGATTACAGGCATGAGCCACTGGCACCTGGCTTTAACAGGTTTTTTGAAGTAGGATGTTCTGTAAAGTGTAATGAAGTGTATTTGAAAGCATGAGTATATGTATATAAGTAGGGGGATGGTTACCCAAATCCAGGAAAAAATTCAAATCAAAATCAATGTTAACTGGAGAGACCACATTTGCCATGGTAGCAGAAGCTGCTTCCCTATTTCCAGCACCTTGGAGACAGAATATCATCCAAAGCAATGCTTTAATTGTGATGAACCTGGGCTTTTCTAGAAGATGTCCAGTAAAGCCAACATTTGTAAATGCAAGTATGCACTAGGGACTAAAACACAGAAGGAGAGAGTAACTGCAGGGTATATGAGAAAGCCAAGTACAGTATATAGAACAAAGAACCCATGTGCTCTAAGAGCAAATTACAGGTTTTGAGAAAGAACTTTTAATGTGAACATATTGTTACAGTTGTTCATTTTATTAGTTACTCATTTACTGTACTTAATTTAAATAATGAAATTTTAACATAGATATGTAATATATAGGAAAAAACAGTATATATTGCTAGTGTATTATCCATATCTTCAAGCATCCTCTTACATCTGAACTTCTCTTCGAGGTTTGTGAACCTCTTCCTTGAGGATAAGACTAGAGTATAGTAAATACTGAGTTCTCTCTACAGTCCCATGAACTCAATAGCTTGATTATATGTCTTTTAAGAAGAAGAAGCCAAAACTCAGAGAAATAAAAATAACTTGTTCACAATGGACAAATGGATTAAGCAAATATGATACATATACACAGTGGAATTTTATTTGTCCATTAGAAAGAATGATATTGCATCATCTGTAAAGGAAAGGGAAGGCATGGAAAAAATTATGTTAAGTGAACTTAGGCCCAGAGAAACAAAGGTTACATGTGTTATCTCATATGTAGAAGCTACAATTAGTTTATAACTATGTAGGTAAGTACTTAGGGTGGTATATAAGTGTATACAAAATTTTAACTGAAATACAGTAGATTCAGAGGAAAAATCAAACTGTAATTCCTTAGAAAGGCAAAATTATAGTTCAACAAAATAAACACTAGGAATTGGATGCTTGAAAGAGGTATGATGGGGTCAAGGGGAGAGGAGTAAGCAAATGACAAAAGCAGGGGGGAGAATGAAGTCAACATTGAATATATGTTCTATAAAATTAAGAAAAGTGAAAGAAGGTGGGTTGGGAGGGATGGGTGAGAATGTTGAAAGGGGTGTCACCTATCAAGATGCCTTGTACTCATGAACTGCTTTGTTGAATGGTAACTCCTGCGTATACCTACTCAAAGATAATAAAAATAGTTTTAAAATAAAATAAACTAGGTACTAGTGTTTTACGCTTTGTAATCCTAGCTACTCAGAAGACAGACCTGAGGATTGTAGTTCAAAGCCAGCCAGGCAAGGAAGTCAGTGAGACACTTACCTCTAATTAACCACCCAAAAACTGGAAGTGAGGCTGTGGCTCAAAGTATTAGAGAGCCTTGAGTATAAAAGCTCAGAGAGCACCCAGGCCCTGAGTTCAAGCCCCATGACCAACAAAAAATAATAAATAACTCTCTCAAAGTCCCACAGAAAATATGTGGAATAGAAGAAATTTGAAACCAGAAAGTCTGACTTTGATAACTCTTATTTTCAGAATTTAGAAACAGCAAAAATATTCCCAAGATGTGAAATATATACAGTAAACTCACATACCTTCAATTAATATATGGCTCATATCAGTCTACTGTACATACCATAGATTGGGTGACTTAAAAAATTAGAGAGAGAGAGAGAGAGAGAGATCTTAGTTTTAGAGGCTTTAAGTTCAAGATCACATTGTCAACATAGGTGGCGGTGAGGGTTTTTTATCTCTGGTTTGCAAATCACCTTGTCACTGCGGTCTCATGTAGTTTTCCTCTGTGGACATATGAAATAGAGTCTCTTCCTATAAGAGCACTAATCCTATCATGATGGCTTCATCTTCATGATTTCATCTGAACCTATTTATGCTCCAGGAAGCCCAGCTCTAACCCATAGTACTGGGGTTGTAGCTCCAACACATGAATTTGAGAGAGACATAAACTATTGTTTACAACAATAGTAAATAACTATGTCAAAGAAATATGAGAAAGAAGTTATATGTTACTTCATATATGTGATCTGTGTTGATTAATATTTCTCCAGATTAAGTTTTTGGTATTAGCTTTTCATGTTTCATATAAAGGAATTTATACTGCACACACAATTACTTAAAAGAAATAGGGGAATTATTTCCAAAGGTCTTCTCTTAATCCTTTTGGAATTGAAAATTCCTGGTGATATAATTAACACTCTCTTGCATTGTAAATACATAAAAATTGAGGTCTTCATAGACTTATCCCTACTCTAACCAGACACATAAAGGTAGGAAAGGTTAAGTGATATTGCACATATTTTCACTATACTTGAAGTGACACAAGGTAAAAAATGTACAGGTTTCTTGGCATTTTCTATACATATTGCTATTGTAATATGTTTTGTACTGAATATACCCATGGTTTTTCATGGCATTGTTGAGAAAAAGCACCTTGAAGTGTATTACGCTGGTATGACATGTGGGATAAGAAACTTAACAGTCTTGGGGTTGGGAAGGTGGCTTAGTGGTAGAGCGCTTGCCTTGCATGCCTGAGGCCCTGGGTTCAATTCCTCAGCACCACATAAGCAAAAAAAAAGAAAAAAGCCGGAAGTAGCGCTGTGGCTCAAGTGGTAGAGTGCTAGCCTTGAGCTGAAGAGCTGAGGGACAGCGCCCAGGTCTAGAGTTCAGACCCCATGACCAGACCCAAAAAAAAAGAAAGAAAGAAAGAAAGAAAGAAAGAAATTTAACAGTCTTATAGCTATGAGTACTAGTAATAAATATCATTTCAGTTGCAAATGAAAAGTGGAAATTGAATAGTTCATCCTATAAATAGAACAGAATGACTATTCTCCAGGTCTGACTATGGGCCCCAAAGAGTTTTTCTTTTTGTCAGTTGTATATATCAATATTTCATTGCTTGAAATTAAAATAATTCAAAATATTTTAATTTGTCTTATAAAATGACATATTCTTCATGTTAGCCATGTTGGTTTTTCTTTAGAAGACGACTAAATAAATTAGGGCGAAATGGTATTGTTTAAATTATTTCAACTGCCTTTAATACCATCATAATGGAAGATAGATTCTCATCTCTTTGTATTCACTTTTTGTGTGTATGTGATACGTTGTTTTGGCTAAAATATCTAAGAAGAATTCAGACTCACAAAGCTGTGTAGTAGAAAAGGAAGTATTTCTATCAGATACAGATAATTGTTGTTGGTCATCATTTGCCATTTGGCTTTTGGCAGTACTGGAGTTTTAAACTTGGTGCCTTACACTTGCTAGGCAGATCCTGCATCACTTGAACCACACCCCTGACTCTTTTTGCTGCTAGTTTTTCAGGTAGGTCTCCCTTTTCTCCAAGGCTGGCTTGGACTTCAGTCCTATTTATGCCTCTGCATAGCTGGGGCAACAGACACAAACTTGTTAGTTGAGAATAGAGTGCTTAATAGCTTTTTCCCCAGCTAGCCTCAATTTGAAATCCTCGTCTCTGCCTCCTAAGAATCTGGGATTACAAGTATAACCTACCACATCTGATCCTATCAATTTTGGAACCAGACCAATGAGTTTATCCTGCTAGCTGGTACAGTATTAAGATGTTCTTTAATTCCTACATTGAATGCATTTCTTACATTTTCTTTTGTTAATGGTTTCTAATTTAATTCTATCCTTCTGAAAGATAACCTTTCTACACTATTAAAACTTCTACATCTATTATAGTTTGTATGGTTTTTCCTAAAGAAAGTTGTTCAAACCATTTTCTAAGTGCAGTATTAAAATTCCCAATGATTTATTGTTGAATTACCTCCGTCATTTCTTCATATAATTTGGAATATATGAAGAGCTCTGTGTTCTTCACAGTTAATTCCAGTTTTTTCATATCTAAATACCATTTATTCATATCTAATAAAATTAGAGTCTAAAAGTTTATCTAAATATGACCTC